AAAATTACGGCCTCCTGTTTAGCTGGATCTGTGTGCATTAAACTCTTTCTTTATTGCAATTCTCAATTCTATCTGGGCAGCAAGAAAAACCTGTGGGGTGGTTACATAAATCAAAGTTATTCCAAAATTAAAAGTTTATTTAAAAATAATAATGTATTTATAAAAGAAGCTGCATACATCTCAAATGGAGGACGGAAGTTAACTGATCTCTGAATTGTTTTCCCCTCAAATTCACAAACCAAAATCTCTAAGTAGCAGCCCCATGCCCAAGCACACACAGACCTTACCTGAAAGCACACTATTCCACGTGTGTTCCCGTTGAAGGGTCGCAGCTTCAATATGCACCCTCTTTACCCTCTTTTCTCCCACTTCAGGGTGTAGCAAGTAAAAGAAATCAGAATATTTCACCCCAAATTATACTTCTTTGACTTTGTTTTGTTTTTTGTTTTTCTGGTTTTTTTCCTTTTTTTTTTCTTTGACTTATTTTAAGATGGCTATTCAGAGGGCCTGCAAACAAACAGCCCTGCAAAGCTGTCTTTTGTGAGAGAGATTTGCATCTGTAGAGAAAATATGCATTGATACAACCAGGCTTTCTCTGAAATCCTCTCTTATCTGGATCTAAGAAAGAGTAACTGAGAGTCTGACACCTTTAAAGCTCTGAAAGAAACATTCACCATCTATTCTCTCTGAGGGCTGCTCCCCATGAGGTTTCAATTACATGACAGGACCATCTTTGCCTCAAGATGGTATATAAGCTTCTGTACACCCTTCTGGGGTTCAGGTAATCACTCTGTCTCCCACCTCCCATCCCACAAGTTAATAAATTTGTATTCCATTTCTCCTATCAATCTGCCATTAATCTCCTGTTAATCTCTTCTAAGTTTTTTTCTGGCAAGTCTTCAGAGCACAGAGGGAAAGTTTTCCCTTGGTCTCTACATAAGTCAGGTCTTAGCTCTTTCCCTTACAATGCTCATTCCCAGTCAACCCATCAGATCCTCACCAGCCCACTTCCCTGCTGACCCGAATCTGTGGCCATCCACTTCAATCCTGGCTTTGCTGATTCTCTAATTCTCTACGTCCTAGACCTCTGGCATTCCCCAGGCCTAAATCATTCCCACTGCTTTTCTTCTTCTCTATCTTGCCTATTAAATGGGGATATTCCTATCCAATATTAAATGGGGATATTCCTAACACAGAGTCACATAACACCAAATATGACTGGAACACATTTGAACTGTCATTTTTGGGGAGTGTAATACGAAATGACCAAAAGGTAACTATTATAGAACTATACAGGAAGATTCAACTGAACACAAATTTATTGTGTACCAAATTATATACAAATATATACGAATATAAATATATATGAATTGGGTTAAACAAAGTTGTTTCTAAGATCCGTTGAAGCTTATTGTTTCTGAGTTCCTACTTTACTAAGAAAACTGAAGGCACTGAACACTTGGTCTTCTCCTTTCTGCTTTTCAAAATGTTCCTGTATCCTCCTTTCATTCCTTCTTTCTTAAGGAAGGGACATATATCCCTCTTTTTTTTTTCCTTGGATATCCCAATAATCCTCTACCCCATGTTTGCTTTCTTTTTCCTAGGGCCGACCTATTGTCTTCAACATCTTTACTCGCTTGGCTTTTACAGAAACATATATTTCCCCTCCCCTAAAAAGAAAAATCTTTGTTAATCCTCCTGTCCTCTCTAGCTGCCATCCTGTATTCCTTTCCCTGCCACTTTATAACAATAACTACCAACATTTTACCTCTCAGCTTCCTCAACCTAAACCTGCTTCTACTTAGATATTTTGCTAAATTCCATTTTCTTTTTCAGCCCTTATTCCTAAGCACCACTGATGATATCCTCTAAGCCAGGGGTTCCCAACTCCCAGGCCATAGACCAGTACCGACCTGTTAAGAACTGGGCTTGTTGGGAACCCGGCCACAGAGCAGGAAGTGAGTGGCCAGCGACTGAAGCTTCCTCTGCATTTACAGGGGCTCCTCATTACTTGCATTACCGCCTGAACTTCACCTCCAGTCAGATCAACAGCAGCATTAGATCATCATAGGAGCATGAACCCTGGTGTTCACTCAAGGGATCTAGGCTGCAGGATCCTTATGAGAAACTAATGCCTGATGATCTGTCACTGTCTCCCATCACCCCCGCATGGGACTCTCTAGCTGCAGGATAATAAGCTCAGGGCTCCCACTGATTCTACATTATGGGGAGTTGTATAATTATTTCATTATACATTACAATGTAATAATAATAGAAATAAAGTGCAATAAATATAATGTACTTAAATCGTCCTGAAACCATTCTCCTGACTCTATCCGTGGAAAAACCGTCTTCCACAAAACTGATCTCTGGTGCCAAAAAGGTTGGGGACCACTGCTCTAAGCAATGCCTCCTCCTTTTGCTCTCAGGACCTTCATTATCTCTTCCTCTGTATCTCCAACCCTGTGCCTAGAATGCTGACTCAAGAAAAAACCCCACACGTCCTTTGCCTAGAACACCCTACCCAAACCTTTGCAAAACTGGCGAGTTCCAAGAATTTTTCTTTCCCAGCTCAACCCCCGCCCACTGGTTAGAGCTTTTCCTGTAGTCTCCAGGTAGAGGCCAAGCATGCCTCTATGGTAACAATGAGCCTTGTACAGACTTCTAATAACTCTAACTCATATATGCCTCCTCCAGGACTCCTTGAGGGGGTCCCTTGTCATTTTTCAAGTACCACTCCAACATTTAACACTTGGGAACATTCTCCTGCAGTTAATAAGTACTTTTTTCACATGTTAATTCTCTGGATAACTGAGCCTTCTCTCAGCATAAGTCACTAGTCCGGATATGATAATAACACTATTATCAAAACACTACAAAATGGCAATGCATGGGAGTGTATTATAATAGCAGAATACAATATACCTCCTTCACTTCTTTCACTAATTCCCCAAGGGTTTTGCTTTTACTGCAACAGAACAAGAAGCCCCTTAGAGTTTGAACTGACCAAATATTAACCAGCCTCCAATGTGCAAACTGATTTTAAAATAGCCCTTGACCTGGAAATGTAGGTGTATTCAAAGACACACCCTGATAAGAAAGGACGGACAGGGATAGAGTTCAACATCAATAAGCTTGCTAAGTCAAAAGTTCCTTGTGATAAACTCTAAAAGTAGAGTAGTATTTTAGATACGGTTTGAATATGTTCATCCTTGTCTAAGAAATCGTGACAAAACAGGTTACAGATAACAATGTCTACTTTCAGAAAACAAAATCCAGCTGGACATGTATTAAGGAAAGCCAACAGTACTGCACTGATAAATAAATATGCAGCGAGGTAACTCAGTCACAGATAGCTAGAGACAACAGTTTTAATGAGTCAAATCACACCACAGAGTAGTTTCCATTTTAAATACATTATGGTGTTAACAACAACAACAAAAAAACTTAATTCCAAAGATACCTTATGCATGGCTTCCTGAACATTTTTTCTCTTACTAAAAGCTTGTCAGCTTTATGGAGTTAAGGAAGTCAACATGGAGAAGCTGGCATTTCCTTGTTGCTAAACTATACCAGTGCTAAAAACAAAACAAAACAAATCTCAACCTAATTAATTCTATTTTGGGTCTAGTTTCCAAGGCAGTTTTCACAAAGACTATTCTCAGCCCACTGTTTCTAGTTTTGTAACTTCAACCTTCAGTAGCTGGAAATTGTTATATTTTAGGTAATTCCTTGACACATATGTTCTATTACAGATGCATTTTATTCTACTAATTACCATCAAGGGTAAGAGGAAAAAAGCGTTACCCCATTGATTCTAAAGTTTTAGTCCTGAGAATCATGTTTATTTCGTGATATCATGTGATATGTTCCAATTAGGGCTTTGTAATTTGGGTTACATGAAATTCATTAACATCAACTTTCACGTGGAATCCTCCCCAAATCAGAACTGCCAGAAATTCTCAGTAATCACATAAACCAGAAGAAAAGGAATCAGGAAACTTAAGTTCTAGTTTCAAGAGGCACGAACTTGACCTTGGGCAATCCACCTCACTTCTGTAATTCAAACTGCAATGTCTGCTTCCAAGGTATGCTTCTAGAAGAAGTTTACGTGTTTCAGGTTTCCCAAATAAAATGGAATTTTCTAAACAAACGGTTTTGTAAATCAATCTATTCGCTGGCCCAATTTCCCAAACCACCCAGTCTATAAGGTCATAAAACTGCATTTCTTCCCAAGTTCTTCCTTGTACCACTGTATTACCAAACACAGCCGAATTTCTTTTCTAGTTTTAAATAGTAATATTACATCTACTTACTCTTAAATGTGAAAGAAGAGTAATCTATAGAAAAGGGAGTGAAAAGTCTTCATGAATTAACGTGTCGAGTTAAATGAAATCTACTGGTAGACACAAGAATTGCACTGTCTGAGGTGTACTCAAAAGAAGCTGGAAGGTTACTACTATGTCACGTGCATGATATTTTCAAACCTCCAAAATCTATCATACTGAAAAAGGACGGAGGAAATAAAAGTGCAGGTGGGGTAGCGCGAGAAGCCAAGCCTCTTGCGTCAGGATCCAATGAAATGCTAGAGCCCAAGGTGCACGTCTCCAGTCCTTACTTTGTTCCCTCTACCGAGAAGAGGAGTGAGGTGGCAGCTACAAATTTGCAGCCCCTAGGAGGGCAGGTCTGCATCCTGATTCCAGCGTCGGCCCCAGATCCTCAAGAGGGGACCGGAAAGGGATGAAGCTAAACTGTAGCCTGGCTGAGCGACCCAAGTATCCCATGCCGCGGCCGCGGTCACCCTGGGAACCGAACCGCCACTGGGATCGGGGATCCAGACCCCCTCTGGGGAAGCAGGAAGTCGTGCCAGGCAGCGAGGAAGGTGCGCGGGCAGCCTGCAGCCTCACCTGACGCTCCACCGGCCCCACCCTTGCTCTCAGGTGTCCACCTTCCAAGGACCTAGTCAGGGCGCCGCGTCCCCCTCTCGCGGCTCCACTTACTTTGTCGCTGGTGCTCTCGGTTTCGTGGTCGCCGCCAGCTGCCTCTCCCTCGCGGGGTGGCGGAGCCACCGCTTCCCCTGGGCCGGGGCAGCCTCCCCGGTGCCTCAGCTCCAACATCTTCCGCTCCCGCGCCGCCGTGGCGGCCTCCTCAAGCGCCCCGAAACCTGAGCTGTGCGCGGGGTACTGCAGGCGGGGCGCCCCGCCACCTCGCAGCCGCGCCCTGGAGTCCCACGGAGCCGCTGCCACTAACGCTGCCCCAGCATAGAGCGGCCGCCGCGCCGGTCACCTTCAAAACGGCATCAACGAGAGAGCGCTCGAGGCCGCCTGCAGCGAGCGCGGCTCCAGCGGAGGGGCGGGCCCCGGGGGCCGTCTCGAGGTCCCGGGCAGGCTCCCGGCGCCCGGCGCCAGCGGAGAAGGCGGGGACGCGGCCTCCGGTTGCCAGGTGCGCGTCTCCACGCAGAGGCCCAGGTGGGAGGAGGAGAAGAGGCGGGGAGAAAAGGAGGACGCTCGACCCGCTTTAGCGCCGCGCGGGGCTCCAGCTCCCGGGCCGGCCCCTCCCGCCCCGCCCCGCCTCGCCTCGCCTCGCCTCCCAGAGCCGGACTCAGAGTCGGCGGCTCCCGGCCCGGACCCCGCGATCCGGTTCTCCCGCCGCAGGCCCCGCCCCTCTGCGCTGCACTGCGGCTCCCACAGCCCCGCCCCCTCGGGTGACGTCACGGTCCCGGCCCGCGGCCCCGCCCCCGCCTCTGCGTGCGGGCAAGTGGGGGCCTGAGAAAAGGTGGGAGCGGCGGGGCGGGAGGAGGCGGGAGGAGCTGGGAGGCGGAGGCGGGGCCGGCGCCGGCTGGAAGTGAGCGGGGAACTCTTGCCCGCACGTCCCAGGGCAGCTGCGAGGGCTGGAGGAGCTGCTCGAAGACGCCCGCTAAATGTTGACAGCGCTCAGCACTGCTCCTTCAGACGCCTCCCCGACCAGATCAGCTTGACGCACGCGGCGGGTGGCAGCTCACAGGACCAGAAACTTGTCTGGCAGGACGGACTGGTTGGCCCCGGGACATTCCAGCCCGGTGTCATCAACTTGAAAACAGGAGATGCGTTTGCCTCACTGGGCGTCCAGGGATGGGTCGGCCAACAGTTCCAATCACAACCGCAGCGCCGTCTCCCAGAAACTCGGTACTGAATCTCACAAGGTCACCCCCTAGGATCCCAGGACAATGTGGGATGGTGTGGGGTGCAGTTGCTATCCAGCTAGTCTCTGAGCAGTGGTGGACCTTGGGCTGCCAAAGCCTGAACAGGAAGGGCACAAGATCCGCATTAATTCTAGTCCTAATCCTGTTAGAAGGTGATTAGTTTTCTTGACATGTATACTCACCTGGTCATTACTGACAAGCTAAGAGAGAAAGAGAGAAAGAGAGAAGGACGGAGAGAGGGACGAAGGGAGGGAGGGAAGGAGAAAAGAAAAAAGGCAGGCCTTCACACAGACAGGACAGAGTTCAGGAGCGCACCCTTATAGAAATAGATCATTACTGACAAGGCAACAAATGAAAGAAAGGAAGGAAAGGAAAGGAGAGGAGGGGAGGGGAGGGGAGGAGAGAAAAAAAAGAAAAAAGGCGGGCCTTCACACACATAGGACAAGGTTCAGGAGAGCACCCTCATAGAAATGGATCAACTATATAAATTCCCCAAGGTCCTTACTGACACGGTGAAAGTAAGTAAGGTGTTGAAAATTTACTAACAAATGAGCAAAACCAAAAGTCCAAGTAGTAGGCATTGAAAAGCAGAACACAAAGACATCAATTTACCTCACCAAACAGATCTCTGAAGCTGTGCGGTTAGTTTGGGTTGCCATATTTTCAAAAGGATGTCGAGAAACAATAATTTGTTCCTTATGGGGAGGATAGCAGAAATGACAGAAGATATGAAAATAAGTCCCTAATGAACAGAGGACCAGACTATGGGGTGACTACATTAATAAATTGTCCAATTGTTTGGAGGATTAGAAATGAAGGACTGCTTGATAAGGAAGAAGATAATCAAAATAATAGCTGAAGAAGCTAGTGAAGCCAGTAGTAGGATTTCCATCTCCAGCTGCCACCCTACCCTGCAAAAAGGATTCAAAGTGTTCCATTCTAACTCTCCTGGAAGTCAAGAAACCTGAGTTCTAGTGCTGCCAATGCCACTAATTGCATGGCCTTGGTAAGTCATTAAACCTCAGTGTCTTCAGCTGTAAATGGATAGTAAGAAGGATGGCCTCTGTGGTCCCTTTTAGCTCTTAGATGATCAGAATCCAGCCTTTGGTTTTCCCCATAGCCCAAGAAAATGAGACCCAGCACACAAGGTGCCTGAACAACTTCCCCTTTCCCCTCTCCCCAGTCCCCTCATGATCCATTTGACTTTTTCCCTTTGCTGCAGTAGGAGAAGAGAGGGAGAGGAGTGGCAGGGGGAAACAACAGAGGTCAACAGTGCATGACAGAAGAAACTATTCCCCAACCCAGGAAAAGTGGGACCAATCCAAAGATGGCCAAAATAGAATGTGAGGTACTACTTACCTCACTTTCCTTAACCTCTGCTCCTTCTTGTATTTTAGCTAAGACAGCAATTTCTTTCAATCTTCTTCATTATAGTTATTATCACTAGTTGAGTGAATAGACTGAGCCCAGACAGCAGGAACCAGCTTATTCATCTTTCAGTTCTAGCTCTTTCCAAGGTGCCAAACCTCCACCCTTCTATAGATAACAATGTTTGCTGAAGAAGTAAATGAAGAAATGATGGGATTGCAAAGATACGGCATAACAAGGGAAATATATACAGTCATGTGCTGTTTAACAGTGGGGATATATTCTTAGAAATGTGCCATTGTGCAACATCACAGGGTATTCGTAAATCTAGATGGCATAGAGTGCAGTGGAGCAAACAGCGGTAGCAGCAGCCTGGACCTCCCAGGCCCAAGCAACCCTCCTGCCTCAGCCTCCCAGGTAGCTAGGAATACACGCACATACCACCATGCCCAGCTAATTTTTAAATTTTTGTGTGGAGATGGGGGTCTCCCTATATTGCCCAAGCTGGTCTTGAACTTCTTTTTTTTTTTTTAATTTATTTTTATTTTTATTTTTTTTATAGATGGGGTTTCACCGTGTTGGTCAGGCTGGTCTTGAACTCCTGACCTCAGGTGATCCGCCCGCCTTGGCCTCCAAAGTGCTTGGATTACAGGCATGAGCAACCATGCCCGGCCTAGTCTTGAACTTCTAATAGCCTGATCTTGAAATTCATATAGCCTGGGTGTATCAGCCTAGCCGTATAGTACAATACACTTAACCGCAACTGGCTTACTGAACTCTGTTGTCACACTTTTCCAATGTCTTTTTTCTTATTTTTTCTTTTTCTTTTTCTTTCCTTTTTATTTTTATCTTTCATTTTCATTCAGGGAACTTATAGAACATAAGTTCTCTAAATTTATTGCATTTGTATTTGGTGACACAAAATCTGGTGTGTCATGGCTTCTAAGGCTTTACCTGTTAATTTTACTTGAATTTAACCTGCTGAAGGGCTTCATGGAAACCCTGAGCACATGCATGGGCCTAATCCCATAGTACAACCCAGCCAGTACTTCTTGGGCTGATTTTAAGATTTTCCAGATGGGTGTGGTGGCTCACATCTGTAATCCCAGTATTTTGAGAGGCCAAGGCATGCATCTCTTGAGCCCAGAAGTTCAAGACCAGCCTGGGCAACATAGGGAGACTCCATCTCTACACAAAAATGTAAAAATGAACTGGGCATGGTGGTGTGTGCCTGTAGTCCTAGCTACTTGGGAGGCTCAGCGGGGAGGATTGCTTGGGCCTGGGAGGTTGAGGCTGCTATTACCCCTGTTTGCTCCACTGCACTCTAGCCTGGGTGACAGTGTGAGACCCTATCTCAAAAAAGAAAATTCCACCTTCTGACTCCTAATGAGGAAGTTACTAGAGAGATAAGAGAGGGTGCTAACATTATTATTTATATGGTTTTTATTTTGAATTATTGTTTACCTTCTCTTTTGCTGGAAGTAATGAGTATAAGATGCAGAGACATTGCCTGAAGTAGTGAGAGTAGGAGATGAAGAGATTTGATACCACTCTTCCCTGAGTACCCTCAGAATGTTCCCATACTGATAAACATGCCCCTTTCGGGTGGGAATCTGAATCTGAGCTGCTTTTCACATCAGAGGCTCAAAGGTACACGGCTGGAATGTCCCAGCTTGCCCCGGGAGGAAAAAATCTTCCTCAGCCAAGCGTTTCCAGTTGCTTAGATACCCAAGTTACAGCTTTTGTCGCTTGACCTATCTTTGTCTATTGCCCTCTGACAGCTTTGTTTATAAGTTGAAAGTAGGAATTTCTGATTTAGGCCTACCAGAGAAACACTTTGTGGGAAAATCTTTTTTTTTTTTTTTTTTTTTTTTTTTTTTTTTTTT